CATTTATTAAGCCTCGCCAACAGACCGGACAAGCAGTCTTCCAAAACAAGCACAGCGGGTTGTAAAGTAGCTGGTGTACTTAAAGATAATAATAGTCATATATGCTACTTGCCTTAAAAGATTTTTTCCATTCAAGCACTTGCTGTCCCTCTTCAGACACTTCAGCATAATGCGTGCTAATTATGGTTAGCTCCTTTTTATAACGATCGTATTCGATTCTTGACTCGTGTCAATTACCACATAAAAGTCGAAAATCCAAAAATTTTCGAAGTGGGCTGGTCTGTAGTTTCCCAAAAAGCTAAATTATAAATATACTAGATCATTCTTTTTAATAAATCTGTCTTTTACAAATAACATAAATGCAACTACCACTTTATTAAAGGTTGACACTTAAACATAAAGTTGACACAAACATAATGCTGACACTTTTTTTTTTATCTTACCAGGGTATTTAAGTGCCTTTAGACATTCGGGAAGGAGTTTCATAGTGTCAAAGTTTAGTAGTAAAAATTGTGAGACTTAAATGTAATTTAACAACAGATAGATTCTAGATCAAATATCTGATACAGTACGTATAAACAGATCTACATTATATTTAATTAATCTTATCGAAATCTGTGCCAGGTTATGCATGTTGCCGATCATCATGTATCAATTGTCTAAGTATTGAAAAGTTTCAATATTCGAATGAAAGTATTTCAATAACTACCTATTTAAAATTGATAAAATTTTTTTATTTTAATTATATATATCAAATAAAATTAAAATAAAAAAATTCAGTTGATTTTAGATAAGTAGTTATTGAATTATCATCACTCAAAGTTTGGAAAAACTTAGCTGCAGTTTGTTTTGATAATTGTTCAAAATTTTTTTGAACTTTGAGTGATGATATCTCGATAACTACCTACTTAAAATTAATGTAATTTTTTTATTTTGATTATATGGATTCATTGAATTAAAATAAAATAAAAAAATTTAGCCGATTATCAAAACAAAGACTATGAAAAAGTTTTTTCTAACTTTGAATGATGCTAACTCAATACCTACTT